GGTTCTTTGTCCTTTCTTGTCTCATCCCAGCAAGAAGTAATTGTGTGCATGCAGTGTATTCAGAAAGAAAGTCACTGTTGTAAAGGGTAGTTGTCTGTGAGTGGCAGAAATTGAGAATGTCACAGTTTGAGCAATGGGAAAATGTCAAGTTCTGCCAAAAATTAGGCAAATCTGCTAGCGAAACGTTTCAGATGACCAAGAAAGTGTATGATGGAGAAGTCTTGGGCCATAATGCTGTGTGCTGTGTGGCACAAACATTTTGCACAGGGGAGAGACAGTTTGGAAGATGAAAAGCATACCAGTCTGCCAGGAGAGGTCAGAACTGAACTCAAGATTCAAGAAGTTGCAATGTTGGTGCAGGCCAGCTGCTCCCAAATGGTAGATGAATTCGCAGCAGCAGCAGGGATTAGCCATTGTATTTTGACAAAATTCTGTATGATGACCGGAACATGTCTCATGTTACCCAGCACAATGTTCCACACGTCCTGACACAAGACCAACGTGACAATAACATCGATCGATAGCGCTGACAAAGATGGGACGTTTCTCAACCACATCATAAGAGGAGACAAAACATGGTGTTTTCTGTATGATCCACAACTGAAGCAACACTTGACCACCTTAAAATTGCCATCGTCGCCAAGAAAGAAGAAACTGTTAACAGGAGAGGTGAAAAGGCAAGGTAATGCTTGAACTGTTTTTTGACTCATGTGGAACTGTTCATGTGGAATTCATCCCAGAAGGAGCAACTGTAAATGAGCACTGCTACAAGGAGATTCTTCACCATCTACGCAGTTCAATTCAACATAAGATTCCTGAGCTTTGGCGCAAAAAGAACTGGTTGTTGCTTCTCATACATGACGACACCCCTATATATCGCTTTGTGCTTGTCCAAGAGGAGCTGGCAAAAGCAGGTCACCATTTTGTCACACCCTCCATACTCACTTGATCTCACACCATGTGATTTCTTTTTCTGTCCCCACTTGAAAGAAAAGCGACATGGGCGTCAGTTTTGCTTGGCTGAGGAGATCCTCACTACCACAAGGGAAGTTGTATGGGACCTTCCTACAAATATCTTTCAGCAGTGTTTCCAGGAGCTTTTGACTGTAGTAGTCCAGTACTGAATGTTGTGCTGTTTATTGTTGCCTTTCCTTTTGTACTTTTCTACTACTGTTTCTTTTTTCTTGAATACTTCTATGAAGAATCAGTTTTAATCAGTAAATGGAGTACCTAGAGCTTTCACTTTTCTGATTGAGTTTACTTCTCTTGCTAGGAAGCATGCTTCATTGCATTGTATTCCACAATATGAAAGTGTCTATTGAAATGCTGTATCTTTCTGAACTCATGTAACAGTTCCACACACTGCCTCTTACTTTCATGTTTACTGGTTGAGGAGTAATCTGTTCTCCTTGAAGATGGAGGCAGCAGGTTCTTTCAAAACATTGGTAATCATCTGCTCAACTAGATGACTTTATATTCTAAAAATAGTAATCTTCATTCTTCAAAATGATTTCCACAGTGTATCTAATAGAAGGTGGTTCAAATATGACCGGGACTGATTTTTTTTTTTAACCAAAATTGCCAAACACTTACTTGCACATGTCAGTCTTCAACGTACTCCCCTGCGGAGTCAACACATTTTTTCCAACGTTCTGGAAGCATCCTGATGCCCTTTTCAAAAACGTTTTGTGGTTGGCAGCGTATCCACTTCCGAACATTCTGGATGACGGCGTCGTCCACAAACCGCATGCCGTGCAGGTCTGATTTGAGCCTTCCGAACAGGTAGAAATCACTTGGTGCCAAATCGGGACTGTATGGTGGATGTGTCAGAAGGTTCCATTTCAATTTCCGGAGGGTTTCGATTGTTGTTTTGGCCGTATGGGGGTGTGCATTGTCTTGAAGGAAGGCTACCCGCTTTCCACCTCTCTTCCGCTTGGATCGGATCTTTTCCTTCACGTTTGTTGCCAGGAGGTCTGAGTAATAAGCTGTATTGACTGTTCTGGCATCTGTCAGAAAGTCTACATGGATAACCCCCTGCCAGCCCCACAAGAACGTTACCATCACTTTTCCTGCCGAATGGGTCCTCCGCGCGCTCTTGGGTTTGGGAGAACTGGTATGCCACCACTCGCATGATGATTGCTGGGACTCGGGAATGAAGTAGTGCACCCACGTTTCATCGGTGGTCACTATAGACTTCAAAAATGCATCACCTTTGTCTTTAAACTGCTGTAGGAGACGACTGGCAACTTGCATGCGCACCATTTTGTTCACGTCCGTCAAAGTGCGTGGTACCCACCGTGCATTCACCTTGCGATAGTGCAGGTGTTATTTCATGATGTCTTCTACACTACCAACACTGATGGACAGCATTGCTCCAAGTTCCTTGATAGTGATGCGCCTATTCTCATGAATAAGTGCGTCTTCACAATCAGTGTTTGGCTTGGTGAAAGATGTTGGAGGCCGACGATCATGCGGTTCATTCTCCACGCACTCTCTGCCCTCTCTGAAGCACTTACACCATTCAAACACAGGTCCATGAGAGACACTCTTCCCCATACTGTTGTTGGAGTCTGTGGTGAATTTCAGCGGACGGGACGTTTTCTCCGAGGAATTTGATCACAATGCATTGTTCCACGCTCCGCGGTACCTTCTGTTCACTCATCACTCTAGCAACTTCCAGACAGGACTGAACAGGTTTTAACCCTAACAGGAGGGAGGGTGGAGGTTGTGGCTTCACTCTCTCAAGGTCGCACAGCTGCTGCATAGTGCGGCTTGTTTACAAAAAAATCAGTCCCAGTCATATTTGAACCACCTAGTATATAGGCATTCCTGAACAGTATGGGGTTCACCAAGTTTATAACCTATTGTATACTTTCTGTCTACCAAAAAAAGTAATGTGTCAGTTTTACTCTATTTGTAGTGTTTTAGGACCAGAGTGACATGCCCCTGTACAGCCTGCCATATTTTCATCACTTTTTAACCAGTTTTCTTTCATATATGCGCATTTGACAGTTTATCCTCAATCTCACTACCAGGCCCCCTTAAACTTGATATATATGTTTATATTAATTTTACACAAAGTTTAATTTCATACAGATGCAAATAACCATAGATGCTGACACACCTTTGAATGCTCTATCTAGCACACTTTGTTGGTCAGCATTCCAGGACAAGCGTGGGCTGTCCAGCAGAGCTACAAATGTGTGAAAGGAGTGTCAATTCTTTAGTTCAGAGTAAATAAAACTTTAGCTTACATGAAACTTTAAATGAAACTGCTACTTGTGTTTGTCTGAGGACATACAGGTGCAGTAATTATTTGAAGTTTATATACATTTCAGTAGATTGACTGAAGTTGATAGTACAGGGAGCCTATCACAAATCATGTGGCTATTCAGGTAGAAGAACCAAATGCTTTTCATGTCAATTTATTGCATTCACATTTCATTTCATTTCATGGCATGGTTGATAATCCAATAGCCTGTGGTTATTTCAGATAAGAGGTGTACAATCTACAGGCAGTGCCAGAAATGTCATTGTTCTGCAGGCATTCCTGACATCTCTGTAAAAGAATTTGCATTCAGCATTGGAAGTTCTTAGTGGGAACTGAGTGAACTTCCATTTGGATATTTTCCTTCAGCTATTGAGTTGTATGAGGGTTTGTCTTGTCCATGGTTTATGCTGACCGTCTTACAGTGTATACACCTTTTCACCTTATTCTTCACTTCCACACTACATGTTTCAGCACTAATGTGCCATCTTCAGGTGTCTTTATGCATGGTAAACTATTGTACTGCATGCCATAATGTCTTCATTCTAAAATGACTAAAATCTGTATTCATCATATAGGACAATGAATTCTAAATAATAAAACTTTTCAGGATTCTTCCTACGTTGCACTCAAACACGCAAATTACGCCAATCCTCTTTTATGTGAGCATTCTTCCTACATATATTTGTGTATCGTGTTCTGTGTTGTGTTTTGCTCCTGTTACTGCATGCGTTGTACTGGCTTGCATGTAAATGTTTTTCTCTGTGGTTTCCCATAAATAACAGTTACACATGTTGAGGCCAGAAGTGCATGCTGGCCACAAACTACTAATAACAACTCAGAATTTTTATTTGGTTCCTTTATCTAATGATGACCATGTCTGTCTTAGTTTATTTGTAATTGTATGATTAGTTTTCCTGTGTAAAATTGTGTCATCTTCAAATTTATGCCAGAATCTTCTTCTTGCTTTTCTTACACAACCATTTTCATATAGCTATTTTACAGAACACTCTATGCTCTAGTGTGTAACAACACTCATGTGGCAAGAAATGTGACTGTGTGTTGAAGGGTTGTGATTGACTGACATGTGTTGCATAAATGAACTTTGTGGTAGCTGTTCAACAATTTATTGGGGCAATATTTAAAAGAAATAGTAATGTGTATGGGCTCTTGGTTTGTTTACTGCGCTATGTGTTTGAGTGTGTTCAGACCAAGGTGGCATGAATAGTGAGTGGCTTTTCCACCTGAGTGGCCAATCTGTTTGCAACAGGCTCTTGTATAACATCAGCATAGTATCCTTCTGTGCAAGCTATCTTGTGTCTAGAGCAAGTGTTCATGTCTGAGCTTGATAGTACATGTGATGGAACTATAGTTGTCTCTGCTTGGTGGACCACCATGGATGTTCAGTAGCAAAGAATTGTCACTTGCTCACTCTTAACCAGTACACATCAGTCACCATAAGGAAGTGCTCCTGATACTTACAGTGTAGTGGTGCAGAATTCTGTTCATGAAATTAATGTAACTTTCAAATAGTCATACTCCGCACAATGATCAACTAAATTATGTGCAGGCACTTACAGAAATATGGACTGTCTACTCCTTAGGTTGTGCATTTCTTGAAAGACTGCAAGCAACTTCACTTAACTTATTGCTGTATTTTAGTTCTCTTCAAAGAATTTACCTTATTGCCTGAATAAACTCTAGTTATATGATTATTATTGTGTGTTTTTAGGTTAACTGTGCAGAAAGATAACCCAAATAAAGGACGTCAGTTTTATACGTGTCCAAAACCACAACACGAATGTTGTAATTTCTTCAAATGGGCAGATGATACCAGTCCAGGTGGTGATGGAAGATTGAATGGAAGTACTTGGGGTTCAGCATCTAGAGGACAGGGTGCTGGTAGGGATTTGCCTTTTTATGCTAAAATCTTGGTTTGTGGTAAAAAATATTTCATAATCATGTTATCTTGTATATTCTAAGGAGAGAATGATGAATGATATTTCTGTCTAACTGGCACATCATGCTAATGTTTCTTCTCCCACAAAGTAGTGGAATAGTGACTTAAGGTTTCTACATATGAAGTTCACATTCTTTTGGCACCAGTCATATTTCCATATAAATAATTTGTTTGTCCTGTGTTGTATTTCTTTGTTTGATGCATTAAGACATATTCTATGATTCAGTCTCAGTGGGCTTACACACTGGTGACAGGCATATAACATGTGGCAATTGAAACATGACACATATGTCAGCATGGAATGATTTCTCCAAGTCTTTGGCTTAGGCTCAGCCTGAGGTAACACTTTAGCATTTTTTAGTTATCAACACTACCAGAACCACCAAATTGAGCTTTATGACATGCAGTATATCCTGCCATAACAAAGTTCTGTGTCAACATATCTACATTTGTGGTCTGTAAATAAGTCTCAGCATGATGTAGAAACTGCTTCACTTTCTAATTCCAAGAACATATGCAAAATAACTGTAGCAGGGAGACAGGAGCTGTTACATTTCCCTAAACATACCATATCTTTGGGCCACCAATTCATAGCTCCCATAACCCTGCCTTTCTTGTGTGTAATGACATAACCTGATGCCTGTTGTGGTTGATGGAAGCATAAACCATGAAATCCGGGAAATACACTGACTGNACTGTAGCAGGGAGACAGGAGCTGTTACATTTCCCTAAACATACCACATCTTTGAGCCACCAATTCATAGTTCCCATAACCCTGCCTTTCTTGTGTGTAATGACATACTGTGGTTGATGGAAGCATAAACCGTGAAATCCGGGAAATGCACTGACTTCTATGAATTCAAGAAGGAAGAACACACCTGTGATACTGACTGAACATTAAACAATAAGGAGATTTGAGGAGCAGCATAAGTTAAATTTAAGATTTGAGGTTCTCATGATGGTGGTTACGAACAATCCTATGTAGCACACTGGAAAGACATGGAGTACTATAGTTAATTTTCATTTCATGCATCCTGTTTTGTTATAATATACAACTTCTTTACTAAAACCATCACGACACAACTATATCAAGTTCAGTGCCTAGTTTTGGCTCTGCTGCATGTTTCGGCTATTAATAGCCATCATCAGTCAACAATGGCGTGCGATACTATTTTTGGTGAGGGAACCAGTGGTATCTAATAAACGAACTGATAGCAATCAACTCACCAAAATTTACATCACTTATTGAGTCAGTAAGGTCGTTTTATATTCTTTTCGATAAACCTGTAAATACTGTACTGTTCTCAAGATGAACATTGAATTTATGATCATATTTCCTCAACAAGTGAACTAATCCCACATAATTACCTCAGTCGATAGAATCCACGCTTTTGTCATGACCATGGAGGGCAAGTTGCAACTTTCCTAAATGGCAGATGATATCAATCAAGCGTTTCATTATTTCTCTATTTTCTTTCACATTCTCATTGTGCTGTAGTATCATCAGGCGTTTTTGATTGTCAAGTTGCCATTCAATTCAAGATTTCCCGAACATAACAAGTTGCACTGTTGAAATAGCATTCTCATGTCGTTTTAATGCTTTATGAAGGTTGTTGATATCACCAAACCCAGTCTTGTTCCATACATTTTTTTTCATTGAGAAACAATAGGCATGGCCAACAAAACAATTTTCCTATATTACGGCAACCAGATAGGCATTCCGTTTTAGAATACTGTTCCAAATTAAATTTCCTCACACATAATTTGGTTTGTGCTTTAAGTTCTGGCAACTCTCATGTCGGTTGTCCTCTTTCTATAGTTTTTTTTTTCCAGAAAAGTCCCTGCTATTAAACCCCCATTTTAAAAGGCTTTTGATTGCACAGTCACAGTCACGTTGTCTGCCAGCATTCATTTTTGCTGTGCCCTGTGCTTGTAGTCTTAATCACTCCCCTGCCTTTGTACCACAGTATCAGACTTGCTTCTCTTAAACACGGATAGCGTCTTTCTGATGCGTCAAAATACGATCACAAATACAATCTTACGCCATGTAAATATGCACTTACAATATTTTAATAAAGCTTAATGTTACCTGTAACACCCAACAAGACTGAAATCACACACAAACAGTTAATTTTCACATAACCATCAAAAGAACACATTCCTTAGCTTTCATATCACAGGCATTAGCCAGCAAACCGAAAGTTGCTTCCCTACACACTTCGTGTGAGACGAATTCTTACAGAGATTAACAAAAGGAAACTTGGTCTGTCCCACCAAGCAGGATAAGGGAGGAGGAGGCGGCATGTGGCCTTGAGCAGGAACACTCACTAAATGACAATATTCAAATCCTTATTATTCAAATTTAATTATTTATATATGACTTCTTTTCTTTTCATTTCTTAACTATGGAAGCAATTCTTCCCTTGCTTCCATGCACAGCACACCACTGTCAGGCAAATACATGGCTAATATATATGTATATACACCACTGAACTGCCCAATTGTCTAGATAGTGTGGGACTCTCAATGTCCTGGTACAGGGATAGCTTTACTTACTTTACCACTAAACTGCAGTACTAGTAAAACTGGATACAATAATATTAATTATATAAAATACTTGACATAAAAATACAATAAATTTTGTTATATAAAACAAAAGTTATAGTATAAAACAAGAATAAAATTCTTTGATTGATGCTTTACATAATCAAGTCAGTCGTTGGTTTTTGTAATTTTGTTGCGTTCCCACGGACAAATTGGAGTATTCTATATTTTGTGTATATATAAAAACTGTTATTGGAGGCTCGTGATGTAGCTGTAGTAACATTAATGCTAATTATTTAATTAGTGCCTCACCTTACAAAGTATTGTCCATTCTGTCGTTGTTTACATTCCCTACAGAACAGCCAATACTTTGTAAGATAAGGCACTGGCTGAACAATTATTGTCAGATAATACTACCTCTATACCACGGGCCTCCAAGCAGTTTACTACATGTGTACAAGTCTTGAATATATCATTATGTCTGCAGGAATATAACAAGATTGCAACAACTGACTTCATGATGTGCAATATCATATGAAGATTTTTTAACCATATTTTACTCCATAACTTATGCTAGTTTCTTGTTTGGCTAGTCTTTGACCCTGAAGATGGAGATAACACGTTCCTCTGGAACATCAGTTGACTTTCAGTGGGCTAAATGGCTTCATGTCCCAGAAGACAGAACTCTTTATAACTGCCACTCTGAGAACCTCGGATCCTGCAAGCTAAAAAAAAGAAGCTTATCCCCAAAACAAAGTAAATAGGCATTCCACTGTAAGAATATTGTGATATGAGGGCTGAAAGCCTGAATAGTGAAGCAAGAGGAGATGGCCATGCTAGGCAGTAGCTCAGTAAACACTCCCTGGCAATGGATATGTACGAGGATGAGTCAAATGAAAACCTTAAATTTGTAATAAAAAATCGAAATTTCGCACCATTATCCTGTAAGTTGGTAAGCGTGCTACAAACAGCGTGCAGAATGGCCTGTAGGTTGCAGCATAGTGCAGATGCACGAACACCGTCACAGCACCAGTATAAGATGGCTGCCCCACTTGAGACTTGCACCAGGGAAGAACAGCGTTCTGTTATTCGGTTTTTGTGTAGTGAAGGTGTGAAACCTATTGAAATTTATCGAAGAATGAAGTTTCAGTATGGTGATGCATGTTTGTCACAGCAGCAAGTGTACGAATGGAGTAGGAAGTTTGCAAATGGTGTGACTTCAGTGGAAGATGCTCCTCGTCCGGGTCAGGCACATCGAGTTGTGACTCCAGAGAACACTGCAGCAGTTGAAGCCATAGTGAGGGAAAACCGATGAGTGACAGTGAATGAAATTGCAGCAGGTTTAAACATTAGTCACGGTTCAGCACACCACATTGTGCATGATATGCTCCAGTTTCACAAAGTGTCTGCAAGATGGGTGCCACAGCAGCTGACTCCTGAATTGAAAGACCAACGTATTGATGCTTGTGAAGAACTTCTGCGGTGCTTTGAACGAGAAGGTGATGACTTCCTTGCAAGAATCGTTACTGGGGACAAAACCTGGGTTCACTTATCCCAACCGGAAATGAAGACAGCGAGCAAGGAATGGCGCCATTCCTCATCTCCAAAACTGAAGAAGTTTCGAACACAACCATCAGCAGGGAAGGTTATGCTGACTCTCTTTTGGGACGAAATAGGCGTCATCTTGGAGCACTACATGGCTAGAGGGACCACTGTCACCAGTGCATCTTACTCAGATCTCCTAAGAAATCATCTTCGGCCTGCAATCAAATCAAAGCGACGTGGATTGCTGTCCACAGGTATCCTTTTGCAACATGACAATGCAAGGCCCCGTACTGCCCGTACAACAGTTGCGACAATCAATGACCTGCATTTTGAGTGTCTTCTTCATCCGGCATACTCACCAGACCTTGCCCCAGGTGATTTCCATATGTTTGGACCAGTTAAAGAAGCAATGGAAGGACGTTCCATTCTGATGAAGAGGTACGGCACGCACTGCATGAGTGGTTGCGCAGACTACCAAAAGAATTTTTTTCTAAAGGAATTCATGCACTTTGTAAGTGCTGGAGGACTTGCATTGAGCGTGGGGGAGATTATATTGAAAAGTGATACAGCTTTGTACCACTTGTGCACAATAAATAGTACTCAAAAAAATTTTAGTTTTCATTTGACTCGCCTATGTATATATGCATGCAACAATGGAAAAACTGTTGGAAACGATGTTTTCTGCATGATTCATGACAAGACTATATAACAAGGACCAACAGGACAAAGACATAGAAGAGTTGAGAGCTATCCAGTGTGGAGGTGAGATAAAATACCTCCATTGTAGCCCTGCAAATCATAGGAGGTTGACAAAAAGGGAACTCAGTGCCTGGAGGTATAACAGGGGCACCCT